CTTTTGGAAATGGAACTTAGGTCTTGCATTACTATGTGATTTTACAAATGTTATCCGATAAAAAATGCAACTAAAATATAAAATACTTTTAATTTAGTGACCTGCTTATCTGCATATGTGCTTTTTTTATCTGAAATTATTTCACTAAAGCACCTTTGCGAGAGAAAAATCTATGTCTGAAGTACCAGATTTCAGAGGCATGGAGAAGTAGGTGATTGCTGAATAAATGAGACAAAGGAGCATGTCCTGAACAAAGGGGAAGAGCTCTGTCATACACTTCAGAGTGGGAAGCTCTATTTCCTCTTTTGCTACGTGGGACTTGGTTCTCCTAGCGCACATGTTCCACTCCAGTTGCCCAGCTATTGTCTTCTTCATCTGAAAGACAACCCCTCTGTTACAATACATTGGGTATTTGTGATTCCAGGTAGAGACTGGTTTCTGTTAGCAGCTTTTTTTCCTTCAAAAGCAAGAAAGGAAAAGGTAGCTAATGGTAAAAGTTGGGGTAAAACCATGTTTTTCTTCAAAGAGTACATAGTTTACAAAGTTGGGGTATACAAGGGGTTTACTGCTGAGTGACTTCTAGAGAACACAGGAGTGTTCAACTGCTGCTGAAATTTGGGCTAAAAGGGTCATTCTTCAATGCTTTTAGGTATGAGAGGCTGACATTTTCTGTGCCCTTAAAAATTATGAACTCCCAGGATTAACCTGAAACAGAGGCAGTAAAAGCAGAAGCTATTCGGGTCCCTCTCCCCATATTTGTCAATAAACCTTAGTCATGGCCCGTGATACTCTTGGTATCCCGGTCTTGTGGTGTTTTGCATAAGCACTGTCAATACCTAAGTTCTGTGGTGATTTTTTGTCATTCAGATAAATACCTTCAGAGTTAGGTTGAGACCACCAAAATCTTTTCATCTGTATGTTTGCTCAGACTAGCAATATCTTAAAATTGTAGCATATTGCTATGCTGGTATTTGTCTCTCCACAGTCTTCTTAAACATTTCTCCTCCACATAAATTATTGGCTCCAGTACTCTTCCTCTGTCATGCATAAGCTGGGAAGTAACTCTCCCTAGGGAGACACTGTTCCAAACAAAATTAAAGTAAATTCATGTTATTAGAAATCTTGAGAGGGCAAGGATTGTGTTTTTGTTTAGTGCTGTGAGTGACTGTAAAGGGATGTGTGTTCATGTTGGATTAGTCCTACTGCAGTAAAAATAATAGTAAGCCTTGGGACACATCAGCAGCAAATATCTAATTTTTGGTCTTCCTTTGGACTATAATCCAGTTAATTTTCCAGACATAACCACTCATCTGTTTGGCAATAGCTGAGAGAAATTACGTCCTACATTTTTTTTTTCAGGTCTTACAGTCAGATCTGTCTTTTGGTATTTCTTGCAGGTGGCTTGGGCTGATAGGCCTGATCTCCATCAGTGTTATCTCAGTTTGCTCAGGAAAAAATGTTTATGCCACTTGAAAGTGCGAAGCTTCATAGTAGTTCTCAGAGAGTCTCAAAAGCAAGTCTGGTAACAATTGGGGACTTTCTGGGATTAGTTACTGAATTAGTACCAATCAGTAGACGCAATAGTTTTCAAAAGAATTTTTGTAACTGTCCTTATAAAAACATTAGGCATTCATATCATAAAATGAACTGAGATTGCATTTGTCAGATTACATTTTGTAAGAAGCAATAGAGACTTCAAGATGCATCACCTAGTTTTCTACCTGCAAAAAATGCCAAAGTATTTTTTGTAGGAAGGCAGATATTCTGCTAGATTGTAGTAAGATCCACTAGGCACTAGACACATAAAATAGAATAGAGACAGAGATTTGTAGATGATAAGCTTCTTTTACTTTAGTACAATTAGATTGAAAAACTCTCTGCATTAAAACACAGGTTCTCCTTAAGCGTCTGTTCAACAGAGTTGCAGTTCAGATGGACACATCGGGCGGTGTATGACTCTCAGCCAAACACCTTGTTAAATACTTGCAGGATTTCCCATAGCGGATCTTACTTTAATCAAATAATTCAAACGTTTCTTTTGTAAGGACAATAGAAGGGCAGGGCTTGTGTTTACAAAGTATTCAATATGGAAATCCTGTATTAATTGAGGTATGTTTACTTCACTTAGGACAGTGTCCACAAAGTAACTCTTTAAATAAAAGGTCTTTTGCTGTTGCCAGTTCCAGAGAGGCAATCACATGCAATGCTAACCCGTCAGAAAATCATAAGGAAACGACTTCAAGAGATGTGCACTATAGGCAGCAGAGATGTTCCTAGCTAAAGAAGGCAACTTCATGGGTGATTTTCTCACAGTGGATGTAAAAGAATATAATTTATAAAAAGTAGTTGTATCCCTATGGAAACTACTAAATAAAGAGGCTCTGTCTTTCTCAGTCTATTTCTGGAGCGATTAGCACGAGCAGTGCCAAATATTGTCTTTTTCTAATACCTGGATTCATCTAAACTGTGCTTTAAATTATTATCTTTCTAAGGCAGCAGCTGTATTTTCTGTGAGTAAACATGGTGTGCTTCTACCCAGCCCAGTGCAGGATCTGGAGCTTTTATGATTTACTGGAAAGCATTTAGAGTTTCACATAAAGAGTGTATAAAAAAGAAAGATAATACTATTACTCAGTGATAATATTATTACTCAGTAATACGTAACCAGAATTGTGCGCCTCTGAGTTCCTTACTGTGCTGTGCCAGAAAATGCTGGAATCAAAATAAGCCACATACAGAAGAATTAAACAGAGAATCAATGTTTTCCTCCACAGCGAGTTGGAAATTACATTTGTTTCTATGTTTAATACAGTGAAATCTTTTTTCCTTTTTTTGTTGAATTATAACTCTGCTATAGTTGAAAATATATTTTTGCCAGTGCATTAAATATCTGGCAAAAAGGATGGTTTTGAACATTTTTAGGTAAATGTAGGTCAACGCAAAGAAATCATACAGTTGGAAATATTTTCCAGTGTTTATGTTCAGATGTTCAGACCTGTCTGGCTCCTCTCTGTTTGCATGTGTTGAGGTTATAGGCAGTCCAGCTACATTCCACATTGATTTATATAAATATATTACAGATTATTAACCTGCAGCCAAATACCAGCAAATTTCACTTTTCAGGAAGCTTTGTGACTTTTCAGAAAACTTATTTACTGTTTACAGGACATGTATACCCCATTGGGGGAATCTTAGAGAACAGTATTTGTCTTTACGAGAAATGTGCCAAGACATTTGCTGTCACAGTCAGTTACATTACCCTAATAATTAATTAATGTTTGCTCATATGATTATTACACATTAAGTACAGATTAGTCTTCTGGTAGAGGTAGGATGACAGTCGCTCCATGTTCTTGAACTCCAGTTCCCAAATTATTACTCGCTGAAAAGCTTCCTTAAGCTCAAAAGAATGTGCATGCATCCATTTTGAGAACATGGTGGCTAATAAATTTACCTCTGACCAAAGATAATTTAGGAAATGCTGTTAAAGTGGGAGCACAGCCTAAACATGGTAAATGTCAAGTGAAAACCTGGATTACAGTCTTCACAGGTGGTTATGTCAATTCTAGTTTTCCCTTGCTTTGTGAAATATATTGAGATTTAAGGTAAGAAGTAAAAACTCAGGAGTAAGTGTTGTCCTAGTCTGTTTGTCAGAGGTCTGCTGTGAAAAGCAGGGACCCCCAAGGCATTGTGTGTGATCAATTGTCTTTAGATCCTCCATATAAAGCCTTTAATACTCAGACAAAGAACAAAATTATTACTTGATAATGTTATCAGAGATCCTGCCCTTCACACAAAGTAGGGAAGCAGTTATCCTAAGTAAGAGGATGAAACGTACATATAATACAACAGTGTCATTGCTGTGGTGTTGAAAAAAATAAACCATAGTATCAACACAACTTTGGTCTGTTATCAGTAATAGATTCTTCACTTTAATTGTATAGACCTTTTTCTCAATAACTGCATTCATTCTTTTTAAATCTACTGTCACCTAGTAAAAATAGTGATGGATTTTCTGCCTTGCTTCAGAGAGCAATCTGATTTGTACAGTATGAAATTAAATGAATAAACACATTAGTAAAGTATGTGAGGAGGGAAGAAACGTCCTTCCAGCTGTTAAATGATTTCCTATGGGGGTTTTATAGAAGTGGGACTTGAGGAAAGCTGGTGAAAGTCACTAGTATAAGTATAGGTGTGAAGCATAGAAAGAGGGCAGATGTTTTTGAAAAAGATAAAGCAGTGATTAAATCTGGTATGTAGATGAAGTGAAGAACACGAGAATAATCATAATTAAAAAGAAGAACAATAGAAAATAGTGTTCAGATAGGAATGTGGCATTATGAAGAGCTTTGTGAATTCGCTTGACCTTGTGCAACAAGGTGAAATAATAAAGAAGTTTCAGTAAAAGAATGACAGGAAGTGATGAGAGAAGTAGTGACATCTTGTACACAAAGCTTTTTTCCAAACTGTATCCTGACTTCGAAGGTATTCCTTGCGTCCAGGAATTTACAAAAGTAATCAGCAAAAAAATTCTGTTTCTACCAAAGGATAAAACTATGTAATGGTGAACATGGGAGTTACATGAGAAGAAACTGAAGGTGCACACAAACACTGTATTTTTTCTCAAAAGTGTTTCTCACTTTTTTTGGTTTTTTAATGACTACAAGTGCTGCAGCATAGAATGTGGATAAATATCACAATAACTTTCTGTATTACTTGTTACTGTGTCAAAAAAATTTTTTTTCATGTGATTATTTTACATTGAACAGCTGATGAATTCTTAATTCAGTTTCAGAATTCACACGTGAAAGACCAAGATGGTATTTTTGATATATCAACCATTATCTGATGAATCAAGAGCTCGAAGATTCGACTACTTTTGGAAAGCTCCTTTTCCCATTCTATGTACTGTAAAAAATTTAGATAGACATGCATGAGCTACAAGATATGTATGTCTGTAGTGGTTCATGTATACTTACCTCCTCTTTTCTTCTTCTCAGATTGTTTGATGTGTGCACTGTGTCACGAACAGACAGAGAGACCAAGTTAACATTAGTGTTTGAACATGTGGATCAAGACTTGACTACTTACTTGGATAAAGTTCCAGAGCCTGGAGTGCCTACTGAAACTATAAAGGTATTTAAAGAGAAAGATTTTGGATATTTTCAGAGATTAATCAGAAAGACAAACTGTGTTTTGATCCCATAGGATTTTGTTATATCAAAATTGAGTAGTGCCCAGCTTGGGGCATGAATTGCAGCACAAAGATCTGTATTCACTAACAGATATAATCTCTTTGTGAATAATGGTGCACTTGTGGTTTTTTCTCTTTTAGAGTTATACATTTCCTGATTTTCTCCTGATTTCTGTTCTACAAAATGTAGCATTCCAGCACAGGAAGGTCATGGACCTGTTGGAGTGAGTCCAGAGGAGGGCCCCCAAGTTGGTTAGAGGGATGGAGCATCTCTCCTACAAGGGAAAGCTGAGAGAATTGGGATTGTTTAGCCTGGAAAAGAGAAGGCTTAGGGGTGACCTAATTGCAGCCTTCCAGTACCTGAGGGGAACCTGCAAATAAGATGGAGAGAGACTTTTTTACAGGAGTATGTAGTGACAAGACAAGGGGGAATGGTTTCAAATTGAAAGAGAGTAGGTTTAGAGTAGATATTAGGAAGAAATTCTTTAGTATGAGGGTGGTGAGGCACTGGAACAGGTTGCCCAGAGAAGTTGTGGCTGCCCCGTCCCTGGAAGTGTTCAAGGCCAGGTTGGATGGGGTTCTGAACAACCTGATCTAATTGAAGTTGTCCCTGCCCATGGCAGGGGATTTGCAAATAGATGACCTTTAAGGTCTCTTCCAACCCAGACCATTCTACGATTCTGTGATTCTATGAAATTGTTAAGAACGACCTTTAGTTGCAGCTGTAGGCAGATGAGTCTCTTGTTGTTTAGGCTGAGACTACTTGAATCTTCCCTAAAAGGTGTCTGTTTGAGGGCTGAATATTGTTAGAATGGATAAAATAAATCTTGCCCTCCTATCCCTTTCCCTTTGCCTTTTGTTTCCCAAAGCAACTACTTTTGTTTCATGCCCCTCTTGCCAGAACAGTTTCCATACATTCCAAGAGCAAGAAATGTTCATCATGGACCTGCGGTCTGTAGAGGATGGGCTCAAGGACAGGGGTAGTCCTGACCAGTTGTTATAGAAACTGGAAAGGCTCTCAGTAACTGGGAGGATGATCATGACGTTTTCCTGTCATATTATCTTTTACAGTGCATCTGTAAGGGAGGACTTCTTCCCAGGAGAGGATGTGCTTGCATTATTGGTAGTAAAACACATATAGCAACTTCTCTTCTTTCCTAGGAGTTTCTCAGCAAAGTGGCACATGGAGGATCATAGCTTGAAATGTTTTAACAAAGTTTATGCCTGGGAAGAGAAGCTGAGAGATTGATGTTTCTACATTTTGACTGTGTCTGTTTAACATTTCTTTTGATTTTTATATTTTCATGAGGAAAAATAATTTATGCTTTCAGAGATGGATTATTTTACATTTGTATAAGTACTTTGTGGAAGTATGTTGTGTCATCTTAGTCTGGCAAAGTCCTGAAACCTATTTGAAATTCAGTTGTTTTAATAATTTGTTTAACAGCTTCAAACTTAGGAGTTGTTTGATCTTTCAGTTAAAAATTAGAACTAAAACAGATAGAGATCTATTCACTTGTATCAAAGTCACATATGTATAATGTCAGTTCCAGCAACCATGGTTTCTAATGAACCTTTGTGGATAAAATAAAATTTTTGAAAAATGGTTACAGCTTTGATGCAGTCCCAGCAGAAGACTGGAATGTACATTGGCAGGACTATTTTACAATAATGCTATTAAAGTTGTACTTCCTCCTGGGACTTTGAAGCTATCTAAGTAAACTGTATTTCAACATAACTAACATTGTGAAAATGATGTGCAAGGTGACTGGCATATTATCTAACTAAATATATTGAAATTGAATGACCAGTCCTCTGAAATCTCAATTTGAAATATCTTTTGAGCTGTGTTTCATTTAAATGAAATAGAAGATATGAGCATTGTATTAAATATTTGTGATTTCCAAAAACCCTGTTCTAAAATTGCACTATTAGACTGTAGTATATATGCATGAATATACATTTCATGGAGATTATATACTGATGGAGGAAATTGTTGTGCCTACTTTTGAAAAGCACTATTCTGCATATATGGTTTGCTGGTTCAACCCAGTTGCTATATCTGATAATTTGGCACAATAAAAGAGAAAATTTAACCACACAGAAACAAGGAGTAGCAATTTTGGTCTTTTATATGCAGTGCAGGTTCCACTGCAGTCAGTGAAATTAGTGACTGTAAAATTCAGCTTGTGGTACATACATATCTTTTTAAATGGGTGAGGAAAAATGTAAAATTACTGTTTACTTGTTCTTCGCTATTGATTTCAACATCTGCACAGTAGCTGATGTGTTTTTTCTTGAATCCTCTTTGGCACAGGAAAAAAGAGTTTAAGTTGCACCCTGTTGCTTCATGGTTTACGTCAAAACACTCAGTTTATGGAGGTACTTTTGCTGATAGTCAGGGCTGATCACATGGAGAAGGGTCTCAAGGCTTATTTTTAATACATTTTGATACCTTTCTAATGATGATCTTTATGGATATTCCTCATAGAAACTGAAGCAAACCATAGTTCTCCTGGCTGCAGGGGAATCCTGCCATTCTATAACAGCTGAGCATTTAACCCAGAGCACATACATCGTTAAATGCCTAATCTGACTTCTTATAGTTTGGCTTTTGAGGTTAATATGGATTTGTACTTCGTTTATTTTCCAGAATTGCAGACAATTTGTGTAGAGTATTTCCCCTCACCGCTAGCACAGTACAGAACAACTACCTGTATTGTAAGACCATCTGTTAAAGTTCTGCATGTGTCAGCAACACAGAGGGGCCAAATGAGCCAAGTAAGCTCTGGATAGCTTGATGTTGAAGAATCTAGTATACCTCTTTGGCACCATAGTTTAAAATCAACAATTGTTAGTAGAACTTAAATGACATAAAATTACTGTGAGAGAATTATCAGCCCCAAAAGATCTTTTCTGTGCGAATTAGCTACCATCATTACATAACATTTAGGGAAGCGAGGCTTGGCTTTTGCCAGTTTAGGGCATGCTAGGAATAAAGGAATATAAGTGACACCAGGACCACTTTAAGAATTTCATTTATGTTTTCCAGGTAGTAGTCAAACCGTAGCAGTTCAGAGAAACTAACCATATTGATCATTTAAACACAATTAGTACTTTTGTCTTAATGCTGCTCAGCAATGGCTTTCTAATGCCTAGTGCCCTGCAGTAAGAGTCACCCCAGAGGGTGTTTTAGGAAGATATAGACAGGTGCCCATAACATGATAGATGTAATTTTCCTATGAGACATTGCCTGGTAGTGGGAATACTTACCTAGGATGTAGGGCAGACACACTCACTTCCCCTCCCTGTTGCGAGGGGCATGAATGCTCTAGTCCATTTTTCTGGCTCTGGCTCTGGCTACTGAGTTCTAGGTTATTTTGGACAGTGGTATTTTAAATCTTTTCTGGTGTAGCTCTTCCATTATTTTTTAATGGAGTATACTTTGGGCCAGCAAGTTGGAGAACACTACTCTAAATACTTTTGAAAGTTCACTTTTGAAAGAGAACTATATTCAGCCCTTAATTTGATTAATAAGCCTTTGTAATTACTGGATTGTAGTCATGCTCACCCTTGCTGGCTTCCTCTGTCCGACCTGATTAATATATGTTCCATATGGCATGAATCAGAATCAGCAATGACAACATCTTCCTTCTTTCCTCTCTGCCCATCGTCTCCTCCCTTCTTTTCTTCCTGGGATACTCTTTAACTTTAGGACAGTTTATGTGGAAATGGAAGGTATGAGTTCAGTTTCCTTCGGACACAGCTGTTAGTCATGCACAGGTCCTTTGTAACGTTAATGATGTTAACAGTTGAGCCTCCGACAGACTGGGCTCATTAGAAACTTTTGTTAGTTGACATAAGGGTAATGGAAATGGGAATGACACGTCTCTGCCACAGAAAGATTATTTTTTTTAAATAGTTAACAGACCACTGAAGCATTTTTATGTGTTAGCCTTTGGGACTGAGGCATGTTTAAGCTGCGTGGTCACATTTTATTCTGATGCTTGTGGGACTGGCATGGGTTCTTTGGAGGTCCTTCCAGTCATCTTGTTCTGCCAGTCCAGAGAGTCTGTAAGAATGAGAGGGGGCAGCAGACTGTTACTGAGGTTCTTTAATTTTAGTAATGAGCAAAGTTAACTTCCTAAACTAATGTCATTTTAAGTAAACCTGTGGCTTCTTTCAATGGTTTTCTTACAGTTGATCAGAATTCAGGCTACCCAAGCTACGTGTGCTAACAGGGCTGTGCCTGTTTCAATCTGACAGTCAGCAGAGGAGGGAACAGAACAAAGGTCTTCAGTATAGCAGGTGCATATGTTATCTATCATGGGACGTTAGAAGAACTGGGAATGTGTTTCTACCCAGGTCTGTGATCTGTGAATCATTATTGTATTCCCCCCAGCCTTGAACAGTGCAGCCAAATCATAGTGAGTGTTGGTTTAATGTATATGTTTTCTCTGCTGTGTCCTTATTCCTCACCCAAGTGAATGGCTTCTGTGAATGTTTTTTGGTTTCTTCTTTGCATAGGAAGCCTAGATACCCATCTGATTCAGGTATACAGATTTTGGTATTTAAATGCCTGAAATTGAGAAAGTACAGTGATGACCTAATTTCCTTTTGTGGGCTTATCTGAAAGTAGCCATAAATTGAATTCAAAAATATTAGCCCCATTCATAGAATAAATGTTGCTGTTGTGTCCATGTGCATTTGCTGTAATTTACATTACCTGCTATCAAATCAGGCTGACTGGTCACATCTTTGCAAGACACTTAGGAAATTAATATGAAGATACTGATTCTCAGAAAGCAAACGAGTGTTCGGTGTTGTGAGGTGACTCATCAGCCATCTGCCATGGTTGTACCTACTCAGTTGATCACGTATGAGATGTGGAGCAGATGTCACACAATCATGCAATTCTGAAAATAAAACAAGATATTCCAGG